GAAACACTGAGTAATTCTCAGGTTCTTTCGCCTTCTTTTAAAAAAAAATCACTTGAAATTTGCAAAATGTTGGATTATCTTCCTAGCATGTGACCTGTAGGTGGAGCTGTGGTCAATACTGATTACATGAAGTTAAGAGGCCAGGTGTTCCTCAGGAAGTGAAGAGTAAAGACTGTTAACTCGAGCTAATTAGCGAGGCCTTCATAAATTGGACTTGGCATGTAAGTAGAGGAAAAACTGTGGCCTGGAAAGAACCCAGTTTGAGCCCTTCAAAAAGAGGCACTTCAAAGCAGAGAGGTGTGTAATCTAGACCTATAGTTCAATAAGAGGTTTATTACTGCAGTGAAGTACTTTTCCAACTTAACTAACTTATACAGCTGCACTGAAACATTTTAGAGCCTCCAGCATCTACCAGCATAGGAGCTTACGTTTGTTAGGCTCTATTCTTCTCTGTTTCTAAAAAATACAATGATAAATCTCCAAAGTGAGAGGTGTGAACTACTGTAAATCAGTCCAGGAGCTGAACCAGCACAACTGGCGTGTGCACAGAGAGACCCTTTTGGCCTCATGATGAACACTTGCCTTCCTGATTGGCATGGATAATTATTGTTATAAGGCCATTCTTTAAGGGTCTTCGCTCAGACTCACCTTGTGAATAGAGGTAGTTGGTTGGTTTGGGTTCCAAAGCACCAATAATGTCTCTTCAAAAAGCTTCTCTAACCAGTCGAGGTACCTCAAAGCTCTGAAATTCTATGGTGCCGTATGTATGAGAGGAGGGAAAGTGCTACAGTCCCTGGAGAAGGGCAGTTCACTGCAGCATCACCTGCAGAGAATGTGATGTAGCCAGGTGGTGAACTATGTACAAATATCCAAGGTGTGTGTGTGTTCCTTTAAGGGCCACTGTAGTAAAGTAAATCTTCGTGTATCCAGAGCCATCCTTATGAAATATGAGGTAAAAATGCGAAAGCACTGACCAATATAGTTTTATCTGCCATGTTAGCTATGGTGGATGCCTATTTTGCCTTTTAAAAAAATGTAACTGAGAAGAACTACAGCAGGATGGGGCAAAATGCCTTGTTTCAGTGAGGTGGTGTGCTCCTCATGTTCAAGCCCTGTATTTTTGGTTTACAGAAGCTGTTTTGTCCAATTTCACATGATGACATACTAGGATTTTGTTGAGTAAGGATCTGTAAATCGAGGTGAGCTTAAGAGAAAAGATAAAAATAGTTCTGAGAGTGGTAACAATGGTGAAAGGTTATTAATGTTATTTCTTCATTCTCTGTTAATAGTGCCACTACCATTCACTGTGCTGTGTTCTGACAGGTTTTACGTTGTGTACCTTTTTTATTTTTATGCCTATTTTGAGTAGAATTGCATCCAGAGCTGTTTAGAGTCTACCAAAAGTTACACTGCAGCAGCAGTAAGCCTAAACTCAGCAGGGTACTGTTGTGTGCTGGGACTTGTGTATTTTGGTCAGCAATACCACAGATATTTGATGAGCACAGGACATATAGACTGTGTAGCTGAGCAGTATAAGTGCTGATACCTGTTAATTATTTAATTTATTTACTTTTGAGGCCCATTGTAAGAGGCCAGTGATTTATTGCTGCTCATTTATTTTGATCTGATTTATAATAAATATACATTTTCTATACGATATTTCATAAAATCCCTAGAGTGGGCTCTATCAGAATAAAATACCCGAATAAGTATTTTGTCATTTGGTGTGTGTCTTTTCCCCTGGTGACAGTGAGAAATGAGTATAATTTAAGATTTTGCTCTGCAGTGTTTTCACCCACCAGGCCAAGAGCTTGACTCGTGTCCTAGACTGAAAACAGCAGAGCGTAACACTAGAGTCATTCTGCACATATTTGAATGTTTTACCTGCTCCCATGATTAACTCCAGCATGGGGCGAATTTTAATTTGCATTAAATTTGTTTAATAATTTGCAAATGCACCCACTGACACATTTAAAACCATAGATAAAGCCAAAAGGAACATAAGGGGCTTTTTACAAGATTATAAGCTGCATTAACTTCCATTAACTTACACTTAAAAACAGAAATGTTGACACATTTCAAGGCAAGGCAAGTATATTTATGTAGCACCTTTCATACACTGCTGTCATTCAAAGTGCTTTACAATGAGAAAATTTAAATTACGTTAAAATAAAAAAGTAACTTTCAAATTCAAATAAAAAACAGAAATGAAATTAGCAGTCTGTTCTTCACTAAATCCAACCAATCAGTTTTAACATTAGGGTTCACAGAGTGCATTAGGATCATCATGATGTTTTGATTTGCTCGGCCTCCGGCTGATTAAATTCATCAGGGACTTTTGTCTGCTTAAGGCCACGTAGGCTGAAACATCAATATGGACACCACACTTTTTGCTACTGATGGAAGAGACTGGATAAAACACTTGCTGACTAGAGAGCCTCCTAAAAAGGTAATACAGGGAGGCAGACTATGTATGCAGTAGACTCTCCAACAGGGGAAGAGTTTCTGGGCTTACAGAAGGGAGCTGGACCAGATGACCGTTTAAGTCATAGCTGAGGTCACTCCTGTACGTATATGGAGGGGTGTGTGAGATGTCCTATGGAGAGCTGCGCAAGAGGTCCCTTTATGGAGGGAACAGTCTAGTAAGTCAGATCAGAGTGGGTTTAAAAACAGACCTCATACGCGTTTGGGTTTTAAGGGTTACCAAAAAAGGTGTAAGGTTTGGATGTGAGAGGGACTAAAATGGTGTGGAGTTGTGTAAAAGGGGTGGGGAGATTACCTCATCACTCCAGAAGGCAATCAAAGGGGATGTTTTGAGATGTTCTTTGCATTGTGGTTGACCAAAGGCCTTTTACTGACCAAAGAACTCAGCTGAAGTCTTTTTCATTCCTTTTTATCCTTTTTCATTTTTGTTGATATTCTTTGACAGTTATCAGGGCAAATAGTACAGATAATATTAGAGTTACTTATAAATGTCTAGACCCTGGGCAAAAAGAGAGAGAGAGCTCTTGGTTGTGACCCTACTCTGTTAACAGTAGTTCCCAGAAGAGGAGGAAACAGAGAACAAGATGACAGCCAACCACCAACAGCACTGACGCTAAACAATTCATGTGTAAAGAATACACAAGGGGTGATGGAAAGTCAGCACAGAGGATAACAGGGTGGAAAGGATGTGTTAAACAGCAACAGACAGAGCCAGAGCAAAAGATGTGACCATCACAGAAAGCTGACAGGTCACTGTATTACCTTGAAACAGCTCAATAACACTCGCGTTGAGTGACGCCAATGAAAGAAACATGACTAAAAGCCAAAAACACTGATTTTTTATATAATGTACTGTTCTTGATTAACAGAGCATACAGATTGGTTTCAGCTGCCCATGTGACCCAGGAACCACCAAGAGCAGTCAGATAATATCTCAGTGACATGACGGAAAATGACCTCAGGCTGTTCCCTGATGTCATTACACAGGTTAGCAGATATCATAAGACCTGCTGATTCACTCATGATCAGTAACTGAGCAGCATGTTTTCATTGCCCACTGGACTGAATATTACTGTCACACGCAAAGAGCTCCAGCACTGCTTCCTGAATGAAGATCAAGCTCTAAAAGTTAATTCAGTTAGATTTGTTTAGCCTCTATCTTCTCTGTTCTACGTCTGTTTGGCTGCAAGTGAAAATGTAGATCAGTGGCAGTAACATAATCTGATTGACAGAATCGGAAGAACAGGCTTGCTTCTAAGGTTAAATGTCTTGCTAAGATAACTAAAAGAGTTTGCAAGTCCAAGAATGCTCCTATAAGAGCTGTGAGACATGCTGTGCTTGTGCTATTGATCAATATTCCAGGCCCAGCACTAAACTAACGTCTAGCTGGCTACATGTTTATCATAAATGTTAGACCTGCAATGCAAATGACTGAATGGAGTGAGATATGACTGATTGTCATCAACAGGTGTGGTGTTTTTATTTACTAAAATAAAGTTGCTGATATTTTAATGGATTCTGAGGAGATGGTGACTATATTAGAGCTAATGTGCTGCTGAAATAGCTGAGATCGCAGTCAGACCACTTCTAGCCAGACCATCTCCATTCATGGTAGTGAACCTTGATGAACAGAACCGTACCTGACAGAACCTTTTATTCTGACCGTGTACTGCTGAGAGTAAGTGTGTAGTACGCAGCACTTGTTATTGGGTGTATGTTTGGACTTGTACTTGAAAGGTAGACTACTTAGGTGAAGTCCATGAGAATGTGGATTGAGACACAGCTCGGGTTTGTTGTTTCCTTGTTTCCTGTACTTTGATCTTTGTGTCTTGTTTCTTATCATTTCAACACCTGTCTTTCCTCTAACTTCACACCCTAGCAGGTCAATGCCCTGTAAGCGCTAGATTTGAAGAAAACAGAAGTCTGCACAAAACACCCATGTCTCAGAAGTCCTGTGATGGGTGAGATCAACCACAGACCTCTGTGTGCTGAAAATGTGTTTTTTGAGTTTTTCAGTTATGAAAAATGCACGTATTGCACATTAGAGGAAACCTAAACTGTGTCTTCTTTCTCCTGGCTCAGCTAAAGTTAGCTAAAAACCTCTTACTCCTGCCGTTTCTGGATCTCTGAGTCGGGGTTAAATTTTAACATGTTCATAATCCACAGACAGTGAGGGTCACAAATTAGGGTTTCTTTTAAGATTTCTCACCTTATATATTATATAAATAAAGTATCCTATGAGAAAAGGAGTATAAGCCATTTTTCTTTGAAAAAAACGTAACCAAAAAGCTGCTGATTTTGAAAAGGTTCTCATAGATCTGTAGGCAGATTAGTGAAAGTGAAACTACCATGTACTCAAATATCTTCGTCCATCTCGAGAAAACATCCTCAGATCAGACTGTCAGAGTAAACACAGCTGCCTGCAATGCAGTGAACATGATCAGGGATGCCATACAAGCATAGCAAAGAAAAGCAGATGGGGGCAGACATGCATGGCTTTTTCTTTTATTCTCTTA